CCGCACCGTAATAGTGGCTTCGACACCACATACGATCCCAGTATAGGTCCAAACACGCGTTCTCTCCAAGTCCATGAAAAATACAGTCGAGAAATTCGATGTCGTCTTCTTTCGCTTTCTCGAGAAAACGTGCAATTTCGCGTCGCGTGTACTTGGGACGAACAGGCCAGTGCAGTTTAAACCGCACAGTACGACCAGGTTGATACACAACGCTATCAATCTTGCCGCTGCCACCGTAGGTCACACTGTTGAAAGCAGGTAGTGCCCGCTGTTCGTCCGACAAAGTTAAATCTTCCATCACAGGCACCGGATCATCGAACACGAACGTACGCCATCTGCGGAACACAGCCATCGCTTCGGCGTGGATCTGTTTGTTGGCGAGCACCCATTTGGGTAGACCGATGATTGCATATCCGGGGTAGTAGCGGGAAGGAGTCGAAAAGTCGCGCACTAAAGCCTGGACGCTCGTCTCTTTGCTGGCGGTGCATGCGCGGGGGGAAGGACCGAAGACGTAGGCGTATGTCTTTTCTCGAAGTTCGGCTGGGAGGTCGAGAAGGAGGTTATGTGATGAGATGAGGGCAGATCTAGCCGACGCGGTGGACTTGGATGTTTCGAGGTGGTCGAGGTTCGAGGTGTCCTCGATGCTGGCGGGGTTTGTGCATGTTGAGTTCATTGTGGCTCATGAGTTGGCAATGAGTTGATACCCAGGGACATTGGTGTGATGTGCGGTGTTCTGGACTTCTTAATCGGGTCACGAAGAAGGTAGCCCAGGCAGCATTCGTCGCGCCTTCCTTCACTACCAGAAGAGGGCCGTGCCCGTGATCACGAGAATATCTAGCGCTGGAATTCGGATGCTTTCGCATATTTAATCTGGCACCTCTGGATCTTCTGACCTACGCAGGACAGATAGTCAACGATCGACGCTCGCCCCAACTCGACCTCATAGCTCACTCATAGCTCGGCCTGGCTGCTTCAATCGCTGCTCACCACTCCAACCCACTGCCCATATACGCGCAGACGACGACATGGCTCCTACCAAGAAGGCGCCGCCGAAGAAACGCGCTTTGTCGCCGGCAAAAGGCACTCGCTCCTCCAAGCGCTTGAAGGCGCAGACGCCAAAGGCTCGGCCTACGATCGCAAGCATTCCCGCTCAAGACGGATGCGCGTTCCTCAATATCCCCCGCGAGATCAGAAACCAAGTCTACATGGAGTTGCTCAAGGGACTGGATCTTATGTTCCGCGTGGATAAGCTCATCATTGCTGCAACACAGAACATCGAAGGCTACGTCGGACACCCGGGACTAACTAAACGTGGCCTCCCGCTATGGTCACTGTCAAGCCAACAGATTTGTTACGAAGTCCTGGACTTGATCGCACGCAACCACACGTTCCAACCCTGTGGGCGCCCAAAAATTGCAGAAACCCAAATGGACGAAGGTGTCCCGAACACGCTAGTTTTCAGTGAAGGTTGCGTACAAAACATCAAGTTATGGCCTTCATTTGACCGTACCGCTAGAAGCACTGGTGTGGTTGGCGACCAGTCTGTACCTTTCCTGAAGTTAATGGACAACCTCTCCCTCAAGGATGCGTATCTGGGGATGGTCTGGCAATTTGATCACGATCGACGAGACCGAGAGGATAACGATCCCACGGATCTGACTGAAGAATGGGGAAAAGATTGGCAAGGAATGTTTCGCAAAGTCAAGATCAATGTTATGGTCAGAGGTCTCAAGAAGAATACTACACCATTATGGATTATGGACGAGGCGGAGAAGTTTGCACTGAGACTAGTCGGTACGCATGGAAGTGTGTTATGGGAGGATCAAAACGATGTGGTTCAGGTGTTCTGGAGATTTATGTCAGGGTGGTACGAGGAAACGGCACGGGTACGACATCTCACCGTCGAGCGGAAGGTGTGAGCAAACGCATTCGAGAAGAACACATAATTGTTCCTGGTATCTCATGGCCCCACCGTTCAAAGCAGTCATCAGAACGGTCTCAATAGTCGAGGGCTGTCCGCTGCAGTTCCAGCCAATGTCATCGTCTATATCGAGGCCTCGCTCTTCGTTGGAGATGCGACGCTAGCCACAACCAGTTAGCTCTATACCAATACGACGGCTACTTAAACTTCGATCCCACTTGTGAAGCCATGTTTTCTTCTCTCTACAACACTCCCCCATCGCGACGTACGGTTCTGAGGTCGTCTCACGCCTTCCTGTCAGGTTCTCGCCTGATAGCAACACCTTTCAACATGCATCTCCGCAACGCAAAACGCTACTCACCCGACGACGGACCCTACGTCCCCCGTAAGCGCCGCCAACGCAGCACAAAAGAGGATCTTGAACGATCAAGACTCATCACCACTCAGAATCAGCAGTCACCACTCTTCACTCGCCTGCCCCGCGAATTGCGCGACATGATCTGGGAGCACGCATTTGGCTCCGATGAAACTACCTTTCATTACCGTAACCTCGCCATAGATACCAAAAACCGAAAGTACCCCTCGAGCTGTCTCGATGACCACTACATGGGCCTTCCCGAGTGGCTACTTTCGTGCAAAACGATTCTTGGGGAAGCGCTTGAACTGTTCTATAGGACGCAGACATATGTCCCAACCACAGAATATGGAAGAACAAAACGAAGAGTAAGCCTAACACCAAAAGTTCGCCGCAGAGTTTTCAGTGCGAAATCATGTTATCGTGCACCACCAAACCCGGTGGACCGCAGCGAGTACAAGAACGCACTTCTCTTCAACAACAGCATCAAGAACGTCGAAATGACATGGAAAGTCACGTTGAATTGGCAAGGGGCTACAGGCGCCGCGAAAGATCTGTGGTTTGCGCCGGACGAGGTCGACACCATGTTTGTGCGATACCTGCAGCGACTCCGACCAGATCTCAAAGACGTTAAATTCGTCTGTGAAGTGGCATTCTTCTGCCAGGTGTGCAGTTATGTGCGTACGGAAGCGGACCCACACGACAAAAAGAGAAAGGAAAAGCGGAGAAAGAGCCTAGATGGCAAGATAGAAGGACTTCGTGGGTGTTGCAGAGGCCTGACTGTTGAACTTCAGAGTAACGTGTGCGAGCACTGCGAATTGGACAGTTCGGATCAACTGTTCGAGGAAAAGGCGACGGTGGAAGCGTGGGCAAAGGGCATTGTTGGTAGTGATGCGGAGGTGCACGAATGCGAGGATACGAGAGACACGTCCTACTATGAAAAGGGGACAGTCTTGAGGACTATCAGAGTTTCCACGCAGAGATCATGAATGCGCGGTAGTGCAGCGTCTATACTTGGTGGCCGAAAACAGCGAAGAAAGCCAGGCTATCCACTGTCAATACTGGATATCAACAAACATATCAAACCCGTCCCGCCATCCCCCCTTTACTCCCCTCATCCGCCCCATCCCCCACCCCCTGCTGTTCAGGCGCCCACGTCCCATCCTCCACACTCCTAACCAACTCATGCACCTCAAGCCTCAAATCCACAATCTCCCTCCCATTAACAAGATCATTCTCATCCGCCCTCTTCCCCGCCTCCTCCTCGTCCCTCGCAATCCCCGCCTTAACATGGCGATGCACCAACCTCTTCCTCGCAACATCAAAGTCCACATCCACGAACCAAAGCTCATCCATGAGCTTCGCAGCCTCGTTCCAAGGCGCCTTGTTCAAAGAACAGTAGTTACCTTCGAAAATGACGATGCGGACGGAGGGCGCGATGGCGATGTCGTTTTCGACGGGGTCTTTGAGCGCGTGGTCGAAACTGGGGGCGTAGAGTGTGGAGCTCTCGGGACATATGGGGTCTCGCAGTTTCTTTACTAGGCTGTGAAAGGAGTCGCCGTCGAATGTGAATGCCGCGCCTCTTCTTGCGTGGGCGCTGTCGGGATCGGGCATTGCGTCGAGTTGTTGGCGCGAGAGGTGGAAGCCGTCCATTGGTATGAAGGCTGAGAGTGGGTTACTGTTGGCGGTACCGGGGGATTGCTGTGCATGTTTCTCGTTTAGTTTGGTTGAGACGATGGCTGCTAGTGTTGTTTTGCCTGGTCGTGGTCAGCGGGTTGGGGATTCGGTCGTTGATGCATGCAGGTGTACGTACCAGACCCTGGGATACCGGATACGGCGATTAGCAAGCGCTTCGACGCAGGGACATCTTGATATTGGTCTGCGGTCTCGTCAACACGTGTCTCTTATTTCCAACTCGTAATTGTCACATACCCCAGACCTTGTTTGCTAGGCGCTCTACTTGTTCTTCCATGTTGATGTAATCTTGAAATGGCGCCAAATTTGTTCTGTGTCAGAAATCGCGTAAAAGTCTTTATATCTTGCTATCCTGGAGTCGATCGGGATCGCCAGCATCCAAGGCGGGATGGCTGGCTTTTAGTTCGCTCATCCGCATTTGCAGATTGTGGGGGCTCGGCGGCGTGAGTGGACCGCTGACGTCGCGCGGGAGGTTGGCGGGTTGGAACTGCCAGTATCCTGGCTGTCTGTTCAGCCTTTTAATGTCGATTGGGGTCAAGACTGGTGTCATTTTCCGTGATAGGTCCTACTTAGGAGTGCTCCGAGATGCATCCCAGAAAAGTTGAAGTTTTTTGGTATGGGAGGTGACAAATGCCTTTCCAAAGTTGGCGTCTAGGTAATAAGATGGAAACGACCAGTCGCTATATCTATCCCGAACCACATCATAGGCGAATTATGGATGTAGATCTTTCGGACGATGAGTAAAGCGAATTGTGATTCTTATCGCGTGCGACTGATTGAAGATGGAAGTAGAGTTCTTTTGGCCATGGCGTAGCGCGTCATCCAATCACAACGCAGCAGGAACCAAGGCCGCTCTGCCTAGGCAAATATGTCCGATATAGCCGGCGCATTGCTGTCGCTGTCAGCTAAGAGCTAAGTCAACGTAGCAGAGATATGCCCCGAAGCCTCGCGCCACCGCAGTCGTCCCGAAGAGCTTGAGAGCAATTGGTCAACGCGTCGTGAAACGCGTCGCACCCATTCGACGTCATCATGCTCCCGCCAGCCCTCCTCGCGCTTCTATTCACGCTTCTCCCACACGCGTCCACCGCCGACCACAAGGTACCGACTAGCAACGAGTCGCTACTATGGGGCCCTTATTGTCCGAATCTGTATCTGGGTCTGCGCGCCCGCATGCCCAAAAGTCTCATTGCGGGCGTCATGTGGGGGAGACTGGAAGATGTAGAGACGAGTAAGTAGACACTTTGAGGATATGCGTACAGCGCTAACTAGTTCTATAGCACTCCGACATGACGTGAACCAGAGCGACGGCATGGCCAAGTACGGTTGGATCTCATACGATACACGAGAAGGCGGCCGACAAATGATAGAAGACGTCGGAAACAAGATAAACCTCATAACCGAGTTCATAAAGCACTCTGAAGGCCAGAGCCAAGGGAATTGGGGTTTGCGCATCAAGGGCATGCCTAGGCCTGATGCGCCCAAAGACCTCAAGACTACCGTGGTCTTCTACATTGGCATGGAGGCCATGGAAGCCTGTGCCGACTGCAAGCTCGAGGCGCGTCAACAGTTTGAGGCCGACGAGAAGACGGTTCAAGCTGTGAACATGAATATTGCGCATCCGAAGTTGGGTAATGCGGGTATTCATATCCCTGTACCCATCAATGCAGACGAGAAACGTGAAATAGCGTATATCAAGACGCTGAACGTTACGAAAGATAGGTTGTGGCAGGGCAAATGTAAGTACAATGAATGCCATGATATCTTCAATCCCATCTACCTGTGCTTCGAACCTCCCCATGGTGTCATGAACAACCAGCTGATGAGCATGTGCAAGAAGCCACCTTCTTGGAGTCGCTGAAAGACCAAACGAAAGACCGCACCGAGCCGGGACCAAATGATATCGTACTGCGCAACGCTCCGGGCAACGGCAATTTGCAGCTAGTGCAGATGGTGTGCCATGGGGAATTCGAGGTCAGCACCACGATCATACGTTTATACTGAGACTAACCTCAAGCAGTTCGACATCCTGTACTCGAGTGATACTGCGAAGCGAGCCATGACCTGTGAGTACTCACCTCCGCCATGATACGAAGAAGTGCATCCAGGAACCAGATATGCTAATGCCGTCCAGCCGCCGGTCTTACCACCAGTCTAGAGGAAACCCTCGCATCCTTTGCCAAGAACTTCGACGCAGTGTTCACCCCGAAGACCCCCTTCACCACCGTCATGCACCGCGCCTTCTCTCGGAATACTTTCTCCAATCTGCTAGGTGGACTAGGCTACTTCACCGGCACTACCAAGGTCGACACGTCGAAGAAGGCCATATACGCTGAGACCACTGCAAACTTCTGGCAGAAGTCAGTCGACGCAAAGAAGCATACAACGCCGGAGACGAAAGGCCCGTATGAGCTTCTCACGCATACGCCATCTCGTGCAGCCTTCCCAAGGGGCTTCCTATGGGATGAAGGGTTCCATCTTCTTCTTGTCATCGAGTGGGATGCTGATCTCGCTCTCGAGGTGATACGCGACTGGCTCTTAAACCTCATGGATGATGACGGCTGGATAGCAAGAGAGCAGATTCTAGGCGCGGAAGCCGAGGGTGCCACGCCTGCTGAATTCGTCACCCAATTTCCACACATTGCGAACCCGCCAACGATGTTTCTGGTCATCTCAAAGTTCATCGATATTCTGAAAGGGACGACCAAGTATCATGGTCACGACTCCTTGTACCTTGACAAAGCTGAGACGGGGAAAGCTTTGGTGGCGAAGATGTATCCGTACCTCAAGAAGCACTATGACTGGTTCCGGAAGTCGCAATCTGGAGATGTGGAGGTCCATTCGATTCCATCGGCCAACTTAAATGAGGGCTACCGATGGCGTGGCCGGACACCAGGAACGAACCTTGCCAGCGGATTGGATGATTACCCCCGAGCGGAGCCTCCCGACATCACCGAGTTGCATTTGGACGCCTTGTGCTGGGTGGGCGTAATGGCACGAACACTAGAACGCATCGCCTTCTTCACCGAAAACGCCCACGACGCGCTCACATACCAAAACCACATCCGCGGCGTCAAAACCAACATCGACACGATACACTGGTCCAAAGAATCAAACACCTACTGCGACGCCGTCGTACGCAACGACCTACACACCCACGCCTGCCACAAAGGCTACATCTCCATCTTCCCTCTCCTCACCGGCTTCACCGACGCCTCCCACCCCCATCTCCCCGCCATGCTAACCCTCCTCCGCGACCCCAACCACCTCTGGACCGACTTCGGCGTCCGCAGCCTAAGCCCCGAAGACGACGCCTACGGCAAAGACGACAACTACTGGCGCTCGCCCATCTGGATAAATATCAACTACCTCCTCCTCACCAACCTCCTCGACCTCGTCCAAATCCCCGGTCCCTCACAGCAACGCTGCCGCGAAATCTACATCGAACTCCGCAGCAACATCGTCCACACGGTGTTCAACTCGTACCTCCAAACAGGCTATATCTGGGAGCAATACGACCCTGTTAAAGGTGCTGGACAACGTACCCAGCACTTCACGGGCTGGTCGGCGTTGGTGGTCAAGATCATGGCTATGCCTGATTTGGAGAGGGATGATGGCGTTACGGAGAAGGTGAAGGGGTATTATGAGGAGGCCAAGAAGCAGGCGGGGATGAATCAGAGGACGGGGGCGGGGAGTGTGGTGTTTGCGGTGGTGTTTATGGGGTTTGTGTATGTGACTAGGAGGAGGTTTGCGGGGACTTTGAGGGGGTTGCGGAGGGGGAAGTGAGGGGTTGGTGTGGGAGGAGAGTGATGGGTAGCGTGCGACGTGTGTAGGCCACAGAGTTGGGTATGGGTTTGGCTGCGTGTTTTTGCTTGCATTTTCACAAAGCCTGTGGTGTAGCGTTGAGCGCTATAGGAATTAGAGGAATCTCTTGTACAAATGACCTTGGAATTGTAGATGCTACTATACGCAAATTTGAATTACAAGTAAAGAGTCTCTTCATCCGAATCGTGCTCTCTGCCATCGAGGTCTTGAAACGCAAGACTGGAGGAGCGCGTTCCATAATAATCCTCATCACGATACGACTCCCACTTAGCGTAAACCTTAGTGTCTTCAACAAACCCCGGTCTGAACCCCGAGCCCCAACGTTTCTTAGCTTCCATAAGCACTTTGCGATTTCTCTGAGATATTTCCGACCTCCTCTCCTGGGATACATACCACCGACTAGTGCGAGGCCATATGTGTGGAATCGCTTCAGGACGGGTGCCAATCCAAAGACTTGTTTCAACACCGGCCTCCAACAGATCACCATACAGGTTCTCAATTCTTTCAGATACGTTAGGGCCGAAGAACTCGTTGCTGTAGTACTCAAACCCGTTGGATATATTGAATTGCCAATCGCAAATTGCAAATCCCAGGTAGCGAAGTCGAGGAAGTGTTTCGGGGTTTGAGCGTTTTGCCTCGATGAACTGTTGGAGAATTCCATGTGATGACCAAATTCTATCCCTTTCCTCGAGCCCAAGTCCATGTACTATGAATGCCTCGATGCTCGGGGGCAGGATCTCTTGAAGATTGGACTCAAACCAATGTGGGGGGAGCATTGCCTTCGGGAGCGTAAGCGCTTTGAGCCTTGCAAAGGACTGAGGACGCACCATGTAGCCCTCGTCCCAATCCCGTACAAAGGCATGCCAAAGCGCAATTTCTTCTAGACTTTCACGCTGTTCCAAGATCGCTGGCCATAGATTCTTGGTGCTCATAGGAGGGCCACTGTAAATCTTATAGTCTCCTCCTCTTAATCCAAAGGAAAGCTTCTTCAACGGCCCGCAAGCCTTTATGAGCGGTGTCGCGGTTTGCTCATCAATACAGCCTGGCATGATCTCCAAGGTTTCAACGCTCTTGAGGTGCGCATGAGGGACCATTTTGAGATGCGACTCGAACAGATTCCATAGTCTGAGGGTTCTGACTGTTGGAGGTAAGAAGCGCAAGTGGTTTGGATCGGTAACCGAATGCATGTTGATGACAATTTCGGACAGGTGTTCGTAACGACCGTGTCGTAGTGGTAAGGCCCACCAAGGAGACTCCAAACGCTTCGTGTACGAGTACTCATCATCTCCAAGATTGACCCATTTGACATTTGGAAGAAGCCGAAGTATCAATGAGCCCATCGCAACGAAATCGCGATCGTACTTGACGAGTTCAATGATGGACTGGAAGTAATCGAAAGCCAATTCTTCCGGTGACAGCTCACATTGGAGTTGCGAAATTATCCGAGCGCGATCGCGAGCGTTTAATTTGCGTCTGATTTCTTCCGGAGGTTCCTCAAAGATGGATAGCGCCAAGGATTTGACCAAAGGCCGGCAATCCTTTGATTCAGTAACGGTTCGCAGAAATTGGCCTACATTCTCTTTCGTTATGAGAACACTTTCGTATAGCTGACGTGTAGCGTAAGGTCGAAATCTCTGGCAAGTGAGAGCGAGCGCGTAGAGATCTTCGCTATCGACGTAGCTAAAGCACTCCAAGTACGCGTCGGCATGCAAGTCAACGATCGTAACGTTGCACATTGTGGATTCAATAGAGTTGAGAGGTTGCTGGGGCAAAAGGACGAGTGATGAGATCAAAGTTGGAGATGCGTAATTGACATACGCTAGAAGACGCAGCTACAGGACATGTATTCTCAGAAAAGTCCTGACATGGATCACAACACGTCACTAGGGCTTCCAGGTCGACCTGAGTGATCGGCACTATCGGCTTCTCCATTATGCCGATTCAGGAGCGTGCGCTTCAGCGTTCCGCGGCAAGCTCATATAAAACAAGGCAAGTTGTGACTTTGATGGCTTGGCAACAGATGAACTATCGGAGCAGGGTCGGGGCAAAGTCACTGGCGTCGCGAGCGTACGGCCCACGGTGCTTGATGCGATGGCTGTCAGAATCGTATTTAGTCAACCATCAGAGAGAGCAATCACTGTACAGGGTTCTCGTGACATTGTCATTCTACCAGATACGTATAGATCAAGACAGAGTTCGTTATCATGCGACCGCGATCAGGGTGCCACCATATCAGGAGTATTCCTGTTGTCATTCTGACCAAGTGCTACCATCTTGCGTCAAGGCGCGCTCAGCTATCACATGTGCAGACCACTTTGGTTTGGATGATCCTTGTGTACCTTCCACCTGCCCTAAGTCGCGCCAGGTCACACGACCCTGGTCACCGACAAGTCTCCTCACGCAGCTGTCTGCTACCTGCATCAGCTCCTCCAGCATCAGCTCATGTTTGAGTACCACAATCGTAATCTTCACCTCGCTGAACTTTCCATTCCACTCATCACCCCACCACTCCTTGAACCACACTTCGGGCTCACCTGGAAGCCATTCATCGGTCTTCCAACCCCGTTCCCAATGTAACGCGAGGGTCGTTTCGTGAAGTCGTAACCTGCTCAGCAGTCCGAGAAAGTGCTCAGTTCGTTCCTCATCGATAAAAAACATGCGCGACGCGATCCAACCATCGCACATGAGATCGGCCAGCTTGACCCGAGAAATGATCTTGACACGACGTATCGAATTGGTATGAAATACAAGCGAGTTCGGTGGCACCGGCTGGTCCAACTGGAGGCGCGGTACCCTTTCAGCAGCTTGGAACACCCAATCTCGTTTGATCATATTGGATACGTCCGAACAGATGAGCTTGCAAGTTCTGATCCAGGTAGGCAATCCTCTCGATTGGTTGGCATCGTCGTGATGGTCTTGAGTATGTTCGTAGGGCCCACGAATATAGGGAGCGATAGCGTCATCGGGATCTTGCCATGGATAGGCCCTGGGGCTAGCGACGACGTAAATTTCATCAACACGAAACTTGAAATACGTAGTTGCGAGAACATCAGCGTAAATCTTGTCTCGTATCTCACGAGGGAGTCGAGAGAAGCCGGTTCCTTCCTGTACAGAGTTAGTCGAGTTCAGAACCATGGTCAGAAGGGCAGAGAGCTTCGCTACCTACATTCGCCAGATCAAGCGGGCCGCAAGGTTGTCGACGTCTCCCAGGTGAAGGACTGTGCCGTATCATCGTTCAGGGGAAAGTTACGTGTCGACCAGTGACGTGAATAGAGTCTGTATAAGCAGTGGGAGGACTGTAGTTGAGAAGGGAGTATTGACTTCTGGTGAATGGGGATGGCCGCTGACCCCTAGAATGACTGCCTGTGTGACGTAGTGGGTTGTCTCACCTCGAAAGGGCCTTATGGCAAGTTAGATATTGTCTGATCACTATCTCGGCTCGTGTCAGACCCTCGAGATTGATCCTTACGGCACAGCATTCCCCAGAAGCAGCTTCCGCCTTGGCTGATGCTGTCGACCAGTATCGCAGGCTCAGGAAAAGGAGTAGCGGTGAGCACGTGCAGAAGCGGATGATACTACTCGCATTGACGTAAGGGCTCTGAACTTTCTCGCTCCTGCGCACGGATTTGCACTGATCATTGCTGGCAGCATGACTAGGAACTCCGTCCGAGAGCGCGCTGGAAACCAAAGCTCTTGTGACACTAGGGAAAGCCCGCCTGAAGAAGTGATTGTAGGATCTCGGCTTTGCCTCTGATTTGTACATCTTGGATAGTCGGTCTCGTGTTAACATGGGGTGAATTGTATGTAAACAGCTTGTGATGTTGTACGCGGAGGTTTGGTCCGTAGACACCTGGGCAGTGCGAAAACGCTCACGTGCTGGGCGGCTTGCGGGATGTGCAGTCATGGCGCCCCTGAGCGTCACGATCTACGCCACCTAATACATTGACTCAGTTCTCTCTGATATCATCATTCCAGGCGTATCTCGACGCGGGTTGTTTCCAAGGTTCTGTTGTTATTGTGAGGCTCACTGCGCTAGTCGCGAACGGGATCTCATGACCGAGAGCCCCACGCCTGGGCACAGGCTAAGAGGTGTGGCGCTAAGTTCCGAGTCGTCAACCCACGGAACGGGCGAACATGCTGAGTCGGCACGGCGGGAGCTCAACCTGATGCGCTTCATGTGTCAGAGCTAAACTCGGGCCAGGTTCTCCACACCATGATGCCGACCACCTGGGCAAAGCTGGTACCTACACTTCGTCGGGAACGCTTTGTTGCACACACTATCGCGCATTAGTCTCAAGGCGAGAAGTTAGTTTCTATTACAGGAAGTCGCTTTCGTACCTAATGTTTGCCATCATGGAAGCTGGAGGTGTTGGAGATAACCGCGAGCAAGATGACGAAGACACCCAGTGACGAAATGCCCCGTAGATCATCGAGACGAATGACGTCGCGTTCGGCTCACCCGTAACGGGCTCACAGGTGTTAGTCCCTGCCTGTGTAGCTACGTACCAGCAGGCGAAGATGAAGAAATACCCGGGTTCGCTCCCATGTTGCGAACAGCAAAAATCCGCACTGCACTTCCATTCGCAACTGTCAAACTTGTATTACTACTTTGCCCACTCTCAAAATGAACCCTTCGAAGAAACTCAAGACCAATGCTGGCCCTTCCACCCAGGTGCCATCTGCTACGGGCACTACTGTAGTACCAGATACATCTGCATCTGGTGATCAACTGGGGCCGACTTCAGATCGACCATCCAATTCGACAGCGCCCCAGCTGCATCCTGTTCGCGAAACGAACTCGCCATACGCTGGACCACACTATCCTGATTGCGATGCAGAGGCCAAAGGCGCTTCCGAATGTAAGTACATACAGCAAATGAGATGATAAAGAGGCTGACTTATCAGGCGGCTGCACTGCGAGGCTGAAGAGCCAACTAGAGAAGAAAGATTCATCCATCGCGATCGCCATGAGCCACGGCGTCAAGCGACCAGCTCCCGAGAGCGTCGGCTCCGATACAGCTTCTGCTCCCGAGAGCGTCGGCACCGACACAACTTCTGCTCCCGAGAGCGTCGCCACCGACAGAGCTCCTGCTCCAGAGAGCGTCGACACCAATACAGCACCGACCTCGCTTCCCTCGACCCGACAAGATACCAACAATACCAACCTGTTCCACAACGGTACTCCTGTATCCGAACTCAAACATTCTGGACCGAGTGGAGCTGGCCAAACACCGAAGCATTGGGTGCTATGGGTAGCTCGGCGGAAAGGCATCATGTTTGGCTGCTACTGGGACATGGAGCAGTTTACCAGGCTCTTCTCCAAAGCGAGGTACAGAAGTTTCCCTGACGAGGCGGCGGCTCAAAAGTTCTTTCAGCAAGTGATTCCTAAGACACCCATACCCCCGACCAGACACGTCGCTCCTGGTGAAGAGATCATCTCGGACGAGGAGTTTCTCGCCACAAGCACACTGCATCAAGATGGGAATGTACAGAGCTCTGCGGCCTCTGCCGCAGTTCACGCCCCCACGGCCCCCTCTGTACCCCAAAGCACCGCCGCTCCTACCTCTACAACTTCCACAACCCCTCCCACTGGAGCTCCGACTACTCCAGCTCCAGTTGCCAGCGCACCAACTGTCGACGCTCCAACTGCCAATGCTCCAACAACTTCGGCACCGGCTACCGCTACTACCAGCAGTGTACCTGCTACGGCTCCAACTGCTACGGCTCCGACGGCTCCAGCTTCTGTCACCAGTACTCCGACCGCTACGGCCCCTCATGTACCCGACCAGCATGTTCATGCACCCGCTGAACCTTCCAACGATCCTCCTGTCGGCCAACTAGTGAACAACCTACAGCAGTCCATTCGGAAGCCGCTGTCGTCCGAGGCCAAACAGCAAGTATTAGAACAGATCGCGGCAGTTCTAGCATAACCTTTTGTAGTACAGCGTGCTTTTGACCTTACTGTTTGTTTTCTGTGTTGATGGGCCTGAATGCAAGGGTGGGTGGGCTGTCAGGTTGAAGTGGGCGGCTGTGGGCGAGAGGTTGCATTCCTGCAGGGTTGGCGCATGTTGTTTTTACATCTATCTATATGAGAAATATATTCAGTAACCATTACACGAATGAGACGCTGCTCTGCTTTGCCATACCTGATATCATGTGACTCGTTAATTTACGGTATAGGTACTTAGGTACTGTGGTGTACAATGGTTGTTGAGTTGAGATTTTACTGAGTTCCATGGTTGCGGTATTGAAGCCATGGCTTACTTTGACACGTGATGGGTACTTCCAAGGTTGGGTACGAACGTGGCGTCACGCATCCTGTCATGCATAGGTGCGTTCGCGGAGAGCTTGCAGCAGCTCCACTCAAGTATATCTCAGTATCCACGATCTGCACATTGTTTGTAGCTGTACATTGCGTTGCGTGCTTCCTGACAAATGGTGGGCAAAGAATGTACTTGGGTGACACCTGTGGACGTAGTTAGAAGTGCTCGGACGTACGCACCGCCTATCGATAACGATGTGGCGGTGCTGAGTGGCGTAAGTTGAACCCCGCGTCGCCTAGCCCTTCGTGTGCTCCTTATTTGCGCGCTCGTCTCATGATGATGCGATCACCACCCGAATACCGTCATCTACTGTGAGCGACTAGGCTGTTCATCGCTAGCCAATGTCTGAGTTATATCATGATGTTGCTACGCTCTCTCCGAGATCTAAAGCCCTCATAGTGGCAGAGCCACACCTCCTGCGGCGACGGAGATAACCAACTCTATCAAGAGCAAAAGATGGGAGCGCCGGCACAGCATCATACTCAGAAGCATAAGTCACTGCGTCTGTTGCCATGATCACGCGTTATGTAATTGGGGCTCTTGCGCAATGACATGCCCTCGATGGAGTTGGAAGATCAGAATTGTTAATCGTGAGTATAGGGTAACGTTGATCATCTGCATCACACCACACAACATCGAATGATCACGTCTTTCAACAAATGCAGTGTCAATCCTCTGGGAACATGCTTGGATACATAGCTTGCGCATTCATTGAAAGCAGTTCTGGATCAAATTTGGATACTACAAATACATATGGTAATCATGTGGTAGGCCACCCATCGGTCCGCACACGTTTCGGAGGGATGGTCGGTGCCAACTCCGCAGTACCTATGTTCGGAACAGAACTCCATTCATCCTGATACGCCACGGATACTAGCCATAGACCTCTCGAGAACGCTTGCAAAAAGCACTGCCTTGCTAGCTCATTGCCGAGAGTCGAATTTGCCCTGATGTGCGGAGAGATCGGCCATGACTGGCACTGATGCTCCAGAGGGACCTTGTATGTCGGAGACCTGGACAGAATATGGGTCGCCACGGGGAGGGCGAACGCTGCTCGACCCCATAGGAGCAGTGGCGGGGCCGGACGGGATATCGCTCGATTCCATGCAATTGGAGGGAGCGATAGTCTGAGAGTCACTTGGAGGCGGCCTTCCTGAAACAGCCGGCGGAACAGACATCATATGAGTGTCGTTTGGCCCCATAGGCGCGGTTGAGAGGCGATCGGTGGTTGGTTCGTTGGAGGACTGGTTGGCAAGCTCAGGGACTGTCTCAACTGATTGATCGGCAAGGAGAGCTTGGTCGTTCGCAACGTTGAGCGGGTGATCGTTGCAATGGGCATGCTGCTCACGAGACATAGAGTCCTCCACAAGAGTCATTGCAACAGTTCCAGTCGTCTGGCTGGCGTCCTCAGACGGTGCACTAAGTGCAGGGGCGGTATTCGCGGCGCCGTCATGACCATCGTTCTTGCTCGACTCTTTCTGACCATTGTTGCTTGACATGTTCTTACTCGCTCCGCTGCTGTCATGATCGATGTTGCTGTCGGTATTGCCGTTGTTGCCGCCATTGTTACCGCCGTTGTTGTTGTCGCCGTTGCTGTTGCCGCCGTTGTTGTTGCCGCCGTTGTTGTTGCCGCCGTTGAGCTTCCGCAACTTACGTCTGTCGTTCCTTCGCTTGCTCTTATGAGATCCGTTGATCTCAATCCCGCGAGGACTGCTTCTGCCAGTGCCAGAGCTCGTCCTACGGGTTCGGTCAGGGGAAATTCTGTGAGCCTCCCAGGATGGGTCGTAAACCGATATCCAACGTGTTCTGGGCAGAAAGGGACCCGCGATCTCTTGACGGACCTCAGCCACGTACTTCCGCATGTCCAGTGTGGGGCCGTAGCGACATTCGTTGTCCCAAGCTGCATGGGGTCCACCACAGTTGGGACATTTTTTGACGCCAGTCTCGGAACACTCGCTCTTCGTGTGATCGCCATCGCATGATCCGCAGTGCGTATTGCCAGAACAGCGGAATTTCTCAAACTGCTTGTGACTCGGCTCACTACACAAGTAGCAGAAAACCAATTCACACTCAGCACTCCATAGCCAGACCTCGAGCCTCTGCGAGTTCAAAGAGGCCCAGCCTTGTTCCAGAAGCTTAGTAACTTTGGGGCAGCGAACGGCTTCTACATAGAAGTGGTCGGTGTGGATCGTGAATTGTCGAACATCAAACTTGTAGACTGTTGTGAAGGATTTCCGAAGCCTCTCTTCTTCGAGTTTGCGGTTGACATCTTTACCGGTACGCCAGTATCCGAAAAAAGCCATGACGACAGTCGGGCCCTCCTTGCGACGTTCCAACTCGCCATCCTGCATGAGGATGTGTGCAGTCATCTCAAGATACTCCAAGATTTCTCCCTGATGTTTGAGTATGTTTTTCTGCTTGGATTCGTCTTTTACGATAAAAGAGAGCCGGTTGCCCTTCTGTTCGACTGCCACAGTTTTGTCATTGAGACATTCCGTGACCTTCTTCCAGCACGTGTCGAAGTTTGGTGATTGCGTGAACTTAAGCCAGTAGTCTCTTGGAACGCCCTCTTTCAAGGCGAAAGAGACACCAGCGAAGTCTGACAGGGGGTTGGTGCGTTTGCTGAAACGCGATCCTCTTCCGCGATTGGAGGACATCTCATGCATTGCCCCTGCAATGTGCGGTAACTGGTTTACCACAATGTTCAATTGACGCTTCATCTGTCTATTCTCCATGCGCAAGCCTTTCAACTCCTGGTTCACGTGACGTTCGTGCTCCATGTTGCGTTGGGAAGCAGATGAGGCGGATGAGGGGCTCATGGTGATGCTTCAATCTCAAGCCTGTTCTAGCTGGAAGATGACAACTTCTTGGGCAGATTGGCAGGGTCTTTGTCCAAGATACGAGAGTGATCTGTCGAAGCGGGATGCTAGGGGCTGGAGTAGAAACACTGAGTGTTGGACGCTGAACGCTCAAGGCAGATTGCTGAGATGATGGGTGTCGAATCCTTAGTGCTTGATGTCGGACGCTGAGTGCTGATGGCTGAGAGTGAAATGCTGAGATGTCGGACGCTGAGTGCTGAAGGCTGAGAGTGGAATGCGGAGACGCTGGATTCGGAGGCGCTGGGTGCTGGATGTGGAGATGCGGAGATGCAGAGATGCAGAGAGGATGGATGTTGGACGCTGAGTGCTGATGGCTGAGAGTGGAATGCTGAGATGTTGGACGCTGAGTGCTGAAGGCTGAGAGTGGAATGCGGAGATGCTGGATGCGGAGATGTTGGACGCGGAGTGCTGGATGCTGAATAAGAGATGATGATCGAAAGTGAATGATGCAGGTGTCTCGATGACGATAGATACCTAGGTAGGGTGGAAATGATGCAACTCTAGGGAAGGAAAAAATAGCTATATAGCTAGGTATCTAGTTCCCGAGGATCCTTTGCTTCTCCAACTCTGTTGACGTCAGAAACCCAGCTCACGGGGTTGACTGACGGGGGAGGCCTGTGCCCTGACGAACAGATCCAAGAAGTTGGTCTCAGCGGAAATAATCGCGACGTCATATCCAAATGCCCAGCATCTGTGTCCTGGTCTTTGGTCTCGGCACAGACGCTCGAGCCCCATAATGCCTCATACAGACGAGGTCTTTAACAACGCACTAGAAGCGCTATGGTCAATTGTGCCTAGGTACCGACTCGGGACGTCACCATGAACCTAATTTCGCACCCGCGTCAGTCAGACAATCCCACATGGCCCATGCTATCATCGTACGACGCCAACATACGTAGGCAGGTACCCTGGATACATGACAACTGATGACTGGTGCAAGTCTACCTAGGTATTGTTTTGCATGCGAAATCGAAGCATCCGCTATCACTATCGATTCAGGGTAGAGTCCATCACTGGAAAGCCCATCAATCCGCCCAGCTTCATTGCCCATCTCGAAATACTCCTCGCGCTTCGTCCAGCGTCCGCAACATCAGTTGTATACACTATGCCTTCTTCATCTAATCTCGCTCCTTGCTTCTTTGAGAACTTACCTGCTGAGATGCACGAAGAAATCTCGAAGTATCTTGATCACGGTGCTCTACTAGCTCTTTCGTACACGTCCAAAGTGTGCAGCACCTTTACCAAACCATTCTTGTACAGACATGTCGCTATCTGTCACAGCAATGTTGGTCTCCTGTTGCGCACCTTGGTCGAGAAAGAAGAATATCGCAAGATGGTTTTCTATCTGCAGTCCGTACTTGGAATCAGGGGGTTTCACTGTGACGTGGTAGGTGTGAATGCCAAGCATTGCAAAGAAACTGCATCCATCACCCAAGTATACTGACACCAATAAAGGAGTATTACGAAGATGGGTCCCTAGGTCTTTCACCCTATCGGCACGACTACAGGAAGTACCTGAGCAACGACGATGTCGTGCACATTCGTTCAACCCTCCAGAGCGAGTGGGCTCAGGATGGTCTGCAGTCACCAGGGTATCGTCGGACCTTTGAAACGATGGAACAGAGGGGAGATACCCTAGCATGCGCCTCGATGGTTCTCCGACTCCTTCCCAACCTCAAACGCGCACATCTGGGTGATCGAACTAGTTCCGATCTCCACCAGTTTCAACCTTATCGGAAGCCCAAGAACGGCCCTTACTGGCAAATGCCATTCCAGTTCGGAACCTTCAATCAGCTATCCGAGGTTGTTCTGGATTGTGATCACTGGCGGCACCAATGGCTTGAGGGCGTGCTCCCACTTCTGAAACACGGAAATTTGAAGACACTACGGATAAATGACATACGGGACTCGGACGTCGACGACCATGAAGAGATGGCCTTGATTGGCCTGCCGGAGCATGAGGAGACCAAACGGAAGAACATCGAAGCGCTGGAACGAATAATGTCCGATACTGAACTTTGGGGTAAGCTCCAGGTTTTAGAACTTCGTCCAGGACCGATTTGCTGGGACGAGATGGTACTCCCTATTATGCATGCTTGCCGCGGCCTGAGGAAGCTCTCGTTCGGAGTAGAAGACAGGCATACCGATCGATATGCTAGCACACATATCCTCGCTTCCAAGATGTGGCCTGTCATGATACAATTGCAAGGCTACGTAGAAGAACTCGCGATTTGGGCTGAGCTCTGGCGCCACAAGAAATCGCACTTCGATGATGGGTTTGTCTCTTTTTCGAAGCTCAGACACTTGGCCATAGATGACTGTGCCCTGCGCGGAGATTGGCACGAGTACGGCTTGCAAGATCTCTTTCCATCTTCACTTGAGACCTTGCGATTGCACGGTCTCAGCGAGTACAGAATGAAGCACGTATGGGCTGCTGATGGACTTCTCCAACGCCTAAGCAATGCCAAAAAATCGGACTCCCAGATGTTTCCACGGTTGTGGTACCTGGAGCTGTCCTGTGGCGACATCGAGGAAATTGATCTATACAGCGACGAGAACACACCAGAGCGAGTCGATGCCCTCATAGGCGACCTACGAGATGCAGGGATCTGGGCAAGACCCATGCTAGACAAGTATCCACACTGCACAGACTTGAATTATCCAAAGGACAGCCGGTGGTATCGTGACATCTCCACCAAGGAGCTGGAGGACTACAAGCAAGCAAAAGACGATGCATACTTCGAGCGTTGGGGTCCTTGGTACACGACCGGCTTCATCAACGAAGACGAAGTGCGCGAAGACATGTACTGGCATTTCAACCGTTAGGTAACATGTCCATAGCTGAACAATATTCCACAACTTTTCACAGTCGTGCAACGTCGTGCAACCGAGCTGTGCAACGTACACGTGTGCTTTGTGCAGAGTGATCCTTTCACCACACGCCCTCATGCGCATCTCAAATAGTAGATACGAAAGTGGTCCTGCGTTTCATGTCTGAGATACGTGATGTTACTCGCCTAGTGCGAACTTTGGCGCAGCGAGCCGCGGACATGCGCACGTTCATGCTACGACTATGATGGTTGCGCTTTGACTGCACGACCGTCACTGTGTTTGGCGGATGGAGTTTTTGGTTCGGGGGCGGCCTAAGTCCGCGGACTGGTGGGGTTGACGACTCGCGCGTCACGCCGCTGTGCCTCAGCTCATAGGGGTCAGTCGCGGGAAAAGTCGCGGAAAGGGTCGCCTTGAAACTAACCTGTATTCCGGGACCGGCGTCTAGGTCCCGAAGCGATAACGAGTCCCGCGCCGGTGGCCCAGGCTCACGGCGAGAGTCATGCTTGCTGCCAAACCAACGTCGTTGGATATCTCCGCTTCCCGGGTGCGACTAAGCGACGTCTACAATCAAATCCTTTAGGATTCGAGACTGAGACACCAATCCGAACGAGGAGACCAACAGGGGTATTATGTTGGATACGGAGACTGTCGATCGGTTTGGCGAGAAGCGCAAGGACCACGACTCCTCCACTATTGGACTGCGCATCACAGCAACATGTCACGATCATGTGTTGACCAGAGTTCGGACAGAGCGCTGAGGCTTGGTGATCGCATTGATGTTGACGTCAGTCCATCTCATTCTCGGGTACCGAAGCAGTCCCCGCAAAGGGCTTTGGCAGGTAACGAACGTGCAATCGTTGGCGTTGAACCGAAACCAGACCAATTACTATTGTCAGTTTTGCTATAGCATTAGAGCTATTCGTACAGCGACTACAGAGTCGATTTCAAGCCCGTCAACACATATCGCTTCTTTCCTCTCCAGTTCACCCTGCGTTGAGTTCGCATCTCACTCGGTCTTCCGATTCTGTACGTTCATGGATATGATCCACCTCCTTCGTGTTTGGGCACCCGATGTACCACGTGAGGGATTGTCGTGACCTCGAAGACAGGCCATATACTCTGAGCCGTAGCAAAGCTGACAGTGTTGTTGCGTACAGACATCCCACCCATCCGCGCATAGTCCACCTTCTGTAGCCGCACCATGCCTGTCACTAAGCAATCCACCAAAGACTTGAAGCACTTCCTCACCGATGCGTCGGAAGATGAGTCTTCGTCTTTTGCGCCAAAGAGACGCAGGTCTTCTCAGGAAAAGCTGCAGGCCCATCTGCGCGACAACCCATATCCACCTCCCCCGAAGAAGAAGTTGGGAGACCTGTTGAAGTTCCTGGAGGAAACTCTGAAGATCTTGCAATGGAACGTATGCAAGAGTTGGGACAAGCAGAAAGAACTACTGGAGCAGGCTACACAAGAGCCCGACAAAAACGGTTGGGATTTCATCGCGATCCAAGAGGCGAACAAACACTCCAAAAGGGTTCCATGCTCGGGCTATGACAAAGTCGAACACACTCTACTAGATGATGGCTCCCAGCCAGTCTGGTGGTACGTGTCGAAGAACATACCTCGCGATCGCTGGCGGACGGAGGATATCAGCTGTGGCTGCAAGGACCACGAGCGCCACGACCAGCTGATCAGCTCCCTTCGGATCGAATCCACCGTCGAAATACCGATTTTCCTTCACAACGTGTACAACCGGGGGAAGTGTTTGCCAGCTAAGTGTGTGAAGCGGCGGATCGAAAAGCCCGGCCTCCATGTGATGGTCGGCGACTTCAATCTGCACAACCCATTATGGGGGGGTAGAAACATGACCCAGCGGCCCGAGAAAGAGGGGAAACAGCTCGTAGCAGCTCTTGAACCTCACATGCAGATTCTCGTCTCGCCCAACAGGGGGGGAACGTTCAAGCGTCGCCAGCATGACCCAAGCTTCCATGACATCATCGATCTGGCCTGGATGAGCAGGAAGTATCTCAACAGATTCGTATATTGTGAGCCCAGGCCTGACCTGACCGAGAGGTATCCGACAGCGGACCATACGCCCTACGAGATTGCCATCAACATGACCGTGGCAGAGGAAGACCAACCAAGTTTGAAGGCGTGGGAGAAGGCGGATAAGGCGAAAGCCGAGACCGCCTTCAACCAATGTCTTGCTGAAGAGGGCGAATTGCCCGACTTGAAGGACGTCAGATCGATCGATTTGGTCACTGGACGCCTGACAAAGGCTCTTGAGGCTGCCACGAACACTGTGCCTGATCGACCGGCACCCAATCCAGCGGACGCACACAAGGTGGCCCCAGAGACGAAGGAAGCCCTTGCCCGTACCGAACAGACAGGACGGCAGTTCAGAGAGGCGGAAGAGAGCTTCGCGCGCGACCACGCGGCCAACTTGGAAATACCCACCGGTGACGACATCCAGACTTCCGAATCCGATGACAGCGACTCTGACGACAGCATGTCAGAGCATTCGCATTCTTGCGCTTGCTATGGTTCTGACGTGAGCGACTGCGACGATTCCGACCCGAACTCTGACCTGAACACGAAGTCAGACAATGATCTAGACAAAATCGGCGATCCTACACTTGATTCGGATCTTGATGATTTCAACCATTGGGAAGAGTTGGAAGATGACGGCGATGACGACTGGTTCTGGAACGATACCTACGACGACGACAACGATACCTACGACGACGACAACGATACCTACGACGACGACAACGATACCTACTACAACGCCAACGATACCTACGACGACGACAACGATACCTACTACGACGCCAACGATACCTACGACGACAACAACAATACCAACGACGACGACAACGATACCTACGACGCCGATAACGACTGCGACAACGAAGACAACGAAGACAACGAAGACAACGAAGACAACGAAGACAACGAAGACAACAAAGACAACGAATGCGACGATGAGCATAGCGATGCTGATTACGACTCAAACAAGGCCTGGGACAACAGGCCCTTCGATGACTACGGAAGATTCCGGCCCGACATGAGGTTATGGACCGAGGGCATGCGAGACAAGCTTGGTAACATTCTGGAAGCCCGCAAAGCCCAAGAGAAGATGAGTGATCTTCATGAGACTTGGAAAGATCACCGCAAGGACTACAGCTTTCTGAAGTATTCGGATGGTCTGTTGTCGAAGCGGAGGAAGCTCGCCAAGACCGAGGGCATCAGTCTCTTGCAGAAGTGGAAAGCGACCAAGACCGCCGGGAACGCGCGAACACCAGCAGTCTTTCAGCAAGTCGAAATCGACGACAATGGCAGCAGGAGTGCGGATCCCAAGGACATCAACCGTGTCGTGATGAAGAAGTGGTTTCCAAGATCGGAAGAAACTTTCGAGCACCAACCCATTGCTTCGACTAAGAAGGACGAATCTCTTATCAGCAAGAAGGTCGACGAGCAGCAAATCCGGCGGCTTCTTCGCCTTTTGAAGTCTCGCAAAGCCACTGGGCTTGATGGCATTTCGAACGAGATCTTGAAGCTGTGTGAGGATGTACTCGTACCCTACCTCATCGTTTTATTCCGTGCCTGTATCCAACTGGAGTACTTTCCCACCGCCTGGAGGATCGAGAAGATCATCGCTCTCCACAAGAAGACGCCGGAAAGCTTGAGTTACGGGAACCCTGGAGACTGGAGACCGATCTCGCTTCTCTCGTGTTTGGGGAAGCTTTTCGAAGCTTTTCTTGCGATGCTGCTGACCGACTTCGCCTTTGAGCACAAGCTCGTACCGAAGACTCAATTCGGGAGTGCGCGCAGGTCCACTGTTAGCGCTCTCATCTACCTCATGGAGATCATCCGCGCTGCGTGGGGACGAGGCAAGGCCGTGACAATTCTCAGCCTCGACCTTTCTGGGGCGTTTCCAAACACCGACCGCCCTTCACTTCTTGAGACTCTACACACCAAGGGCGTTCCAGCCTGGATGGTCAACATACTTGGATCGTTCTTCACCAACCGGCAAGCGCAGCTCTGCCTTCCCGGTCACAAGTCTGAGCTGTTGCCACTACACTGCGGTATCCCTCAGGGTAGTCCACTCTCGCCCATCCTCTTCGCGCTCTTCTCCTCCGGACTCCTCGACATCGACAAGACCAAGTATGGCAAGCCCAACCCCGGCGAAGACATCTTCATGTTCAGCTACGTTGACGACACGTACATGGTTGCTGTTTCCGACTCATGGACGCGAAACAACGACCTTCTCGAGCACGCACATGGCCATCCATTGCAATGGGCGAACGCTCACAAGGCTGTCTTCTCGCCTCCGAAGTACCAAGTGCTGCACCTTACACAATGCCCGCAGGCCCATCCCCCACCCGATACCATACCCAAAATCGACGGACTTACTGTCAACGAGGACGACAAGCGCAAGGACAAAGGCTACAACGTCCCCATGACCATCGTGGGCGTCACCATCGCTAAGAATCTGAAGTGGGAAGACCATGTCAACACGATGCGCTCCAAGGCCGCCACCATGCGCGGTCGATTTGCTCAGCTTGCTGGCCCGACATGGGGCCCTGGTCTGCACGCCCTTCGAAACATGTACATTACCAGCATTCGCGCCACGTTCACCTACGCGGCTGCTGCATGGTACGTGGTCAACACCTCTACCGCTACCGGTTTCTACGCGCCATCGCCGACCTTATTGAAACGAATCGAGCCACTCCAGAACCGCTTTCTCCGCTCCATGTCCGGCGCCTTCATCGGCACTCGCACCACTGTCGTCCAGAACGAAGTCAACATCGAGAGCCTTCATGCGTACATGCGCCGTCTCGCGATCTCGACGCGTGCAAGACTCTTCGACTCGGAAGTCTGGGAAACCATCCGGGAAGCGAGAACGGCAATAGAGAAGATGGAGCCGGGCACGATGCCGATCAAGAAGAATCCAGCCGACGAGCTCGACAAGCAAGCCCAGGAGCTGCGGACAA